TGTGTGTGTGTGTGTGTGTGTGTGTGTGTGTGTGTGTGTGTGTGTGTGTGTGTGTGAGAGTAAGAGAGACAGGCACACACACACACACACACAGGGGAAGGGGTTAAATCTCGGTCACTGCTTGTTGCTTTCTGTAAGCAGGACAATAGAGTACACTGGTTAGGAACACAAGTTCTGGGGTCAGAAGACCTAGATTTATTTTTGTCTGTGCATTTGGGAGCTGTAAGATCCTGGAAAAGTTATTTTACTTCTCTGAGCCTATCTTGTCTAATTTGTAAAGTGGGCATAGCACTAATACTTACTCAATAGGATTTTTTTTTTCGAAACGGAGTTTCACTGTTGTTGCTCAGGGTGTAGCACAGTGGCACAATCTCGGCTCACTGCAACCTCCACCTCCTAGATTCAAGTGATTCTCCTGCCTCAACCTCCCAAGTAGCTGGGATTACAGGCATGCACCACCACGCCTGGCTAATTTTGTATTAGCCAGGATTTCACCTGGTCAGTGTTGGTCAGTCTGGTCTTGAACTCCTGACCTCAGGTGATTCACCTGCCTCGGCCTCCCAAAGTACTGGGATTACAGGCATGAGCCACTGTGCCCAGCCATTTGATAGGATTCTTATGACTATTAAATGAAGTAAACCTAACGACCTACTTAGAAATGCCAGCACCACTTACGTGCTCCGTCGATGATACTTGCAACTGTTGATATTGCTGTTGTGGTGTTGTGTATGCCACAAGACAACATGGTACAGGTGCAGAAATTTCTGAGTGGTGCTGATACCCAGTGGCCTAATTGTGAGGGACATAGAGAGCCATGACTATATTTTTGATAATAGATTAACAATGCTTTATTACTTTTTGTTTACTAGAAGAATAATTGTTTTACTTTTTTTTCTTTTTTTGAGACAGAGTCTCGCTCTGCCACCCAGTCTGGAGTGCAGTGGTGCGATCCCGACTCACTGCACCCTCTGCCTCCTGGGTTCAAGCGAGTCTCCTGCCTCAGCCTCCCAAGTAGCTGGGATTACAGGCACCCACCACCATGCCTGGTTAATTTTTGTATATTTAGTAGAGATAGGGCTTCACCATGTTGGCAAGCTGGTTTCCAACTCCTGACCTTAGGTGATCCGCCTGCCTTGGCCTCCCAAAGTTCTGGGATTATAGGTGTGAGCCACCACACCTGGCCAGAATAATTGTTTTACTAGGTAGAAGTACTGAAAATGTTTTTCTGCCAAGACCTTAGTATTTTCAGAGGATGAGGTTCAAAGTGCTAGTGGGTTGTCTGAAATGAGATAATGGGTGGAACAAAAACTCTGAAGGTAAAGTCTGGAACATTTTGGGTATTCTGGTACCCAAAAATGTATGGGCAGATCACAAGGTCAGGAGATCGAGACCATCCTGGCCAACATAGTGAAACCTCATCTCTAAAAAAATAAAAATAAGAATAAAGAAAGTTGAGGGAATAATAAGCAAATGGTAATAACAGCAGTTCATGGTTAGTGTATTTCTGTGCTTAGCACTTGGCTTCCATGAATTTTCGCCTTTCAGCCTCACAACAGCACAGCGTGTTGGTATCTGAGGGAGGTGGAGTCATGTCTTCACAGGTGAAGCCTGGATTTGAACTTAGTGACTGTTCCAAATGATTGACCCAAATGATATTTACTTATTTATTTTCTTTTTATTTGTGGTTGTTGCCAAATGATATTTAATATCTGAAATATTACATGCAAAAAAATAAATTTTAGGACTCATAAAGGAGAGTAAAACAGAAGGGAAAGAAGGAAAAGAAATGCTAAATGTTTCTCTTTTTTTCCCCAGCTTGTAAATGCACTGAAAACAGTATCTACATTTGAAGTCCAGATTGTTGATTACAAGTATAAGTAAGTAATAGCTAATCCTGGCAGACATGGTCAGCTTTTGCTTGGTTGAGGTCAAGGGGGCGAGAAAGCATTTTTCCCAGTGGGAGCTGTTGGTATTTGTAGGCTCAGAAGGGCTAAGCAGACACTATAAATGAATGAAACGGGCAGGTGAGGGCCCTGGGAACAGGGGCAGTTACTCTTCAGCTTTCTGGGGCCTGCTGTTGTGACTCCATGTTACTCAAAAGAAGTGATGAATTCAGATTTCCATTTACAATTTCAGAGTTTTTTTTTTTTTTTTTTTTTTTTTTTTTTTTTTTTTGGAGGGGAAAGAGTCTTGCTCTATCACCTAGGCAGGAATACAGTGGCACCATCTCGGCTCACTGCAACCTCCGCCTCCTGGGTTCAAGCAGTTCTTCTGCCTCTGCTTCCCAACTAGCTGGGACTACAGGCATATACCACCATGACTGGCTAATTTTTGTATTTTTAGTAGAGATGAGGTTTCACCATGTTGGCCAGGCTGGTCTTGAAGTCCTGACCTCAAGTAATCTGCCTGCCTCTGCCTCTCAAAGTGGTGCGATTACAGGAATGTGCCTCTGCACCCAGCCTTAAATTTCAGAAGTTTAAAAAAATTGACAGGCTGGACGTGGTGGCTCATGCTTGTAATCCTAGCGCTTTGGGAGGCCAAGGCAGGTGAATTGCCTGAACTCCGGAGTCCAAGACCAGCCTGGGCAACATGGTGAAACTCTGTCTCTACTAAAAAATACAAAAAATTGACCAGGCATGGCAGTGTGTGCCTGTAGTCCCAGCTATTCAGCAGGCTGAGGCAGGAGAATGGCTTGAACCCGGGAGGCGGCGGTTGCAGTGAGCCCAGATCGTGCCACTGCATTCCAGCCTGATGACAGAGTAAGACTCCATCTCAAAAAAAAAAAAAAAAAAAAAGGCAACTAGTTTGCCCTCCTAACTGCCAGATTTCAACATCTGACTTAAAATTATGGGGGTAGTTTGAGGGTCAGAATAACTTGAGATTTAAAAAAAATCATATAAAATGTTTACATTTCTTTTAAAACTCTAATACAACTAAAAGGCTTAGAAAGACAGAATATGTCTATTACTCACAGTCTGGGTAATTTCTGTTGCTAGAATTCCATCTTCCTAGTAAAAGTAGTACATGCTTCTGGTTGAAAAAATCAAGCAGTATAGAAAAGATCAGAAGGAAAAGTTTCACTTTTCCCTCCATGTCCACCCACAATCACAGCTGTGTTTTCAAAATCTAACACTGAGAATGCTTTTCAGTTAAAGGAAGTATACATATCCCAGCAGTAGGAGAAATATCTAATGTGGATGACAGGTTGATGGGTGCAGCAAACCACCATGGCAAGTGTATACCTGTGTAACAAACCTGCACGTTCTGCACATGTACCCCAGAACTTAAAGTATATATGATAAAATAAGTATATATATCCCAGCATGTGGGTGTCTAATATAGATAAATTTAATTTAGGAGAATGTAAGCATGGGAGCTTTGCACTTCATCCATCATACATTAATTCATTTGTGCAATAAATCTCTAAACTGGGGACCCATGAGCTGGTCACCAGGCTCAGCAGTAGGAATCCCATTATGGAGGATGGCATAGCTCTCATCTTGGGGATCTCAGACACTGAATAGAGATAAATAGCAATCGTAAAAACAGCTACTATTTATTGAGACGTACATTTATGCTTACTTGCTTTATCTCATCCCGTGCTTTCAACAGTCTTCTGGGTTGGCACAGCTCGTCCCATTTTACAGATTATACTCTGCTGCACTGGCCACCTTCAGTGTTGCATAAAGAAATGAGTGAGCCAAGACGGGACTCCCATATCAGTCCCAAAACCGTTCACTGAGATGAGGCTGGGAAGGAATGGAAAGAACTGGGGAGGGCACCTCTGAAGCTGTATTATTGACTGGCTTTTAAGGATGTGTTGGAGTTTCTCAGATAAACCAGAATGACAATACATTCATAAGTTGCCAGTCTGTGGGAAATGTTAGTAACATGTTAGTGTGGGGATTGGTGAGCGCTGACCACAGGCGTTTCCATAGTTGGCAGCTCCAGGGGTATGTTCGCCTGGGCGAATGGCTGTCCTTCCCTTGGCATCAGTTCACATTCCTGGAGAAACTGAGGCACATGTTCTCAGTGCGATTCACATACGCACAGAGCTGTCTTCCTTTTCCTATGCAGAGTTTTTGTTGTTAGCTGGTATAAAAGGGAATTCACCTTCCTTTCTTAGATCCAAAATAATCGTGATCATTTATTTTTCTTTACTTTGGGTAAAGTGGGACTGAAAGATCTCATTTCTTTCTGTTTATTCAGAGTGTCACCCTTATTCTAGCATTTCTCCCTAGCCTCACCTCAGCGAACTGTTTTGGGACTGATTTTTGGTTGAAAGTTTACACATCTGTCAGTGTCTTGGATTTGGAGAACACTTACACAATCCTAACATGCATAAAACTGTGGATTTGTCTTTGGCAAAGGCAGGATAGTGCCCTGCTGGTATCCGAGATTGTTTTGGGTGTACCCAGATGGCATTAAAAAACTTATATCACACTAGGAGAAAATTTTTAAAAATCCTTTTATTATCCTAAGGAAATAGTTTTTAATTTAGTGCTAGTTTGTCACAACATCTCTTTAACACTTGCTAATTTCTCTTTTTCATGAAGAGAGAGCAGGCTTCCAGCTCCGAGCTTTGTCTTGCAATAGTATATACCTCGATTTGCATACTACTTAGTTTGATTATATCAATTTTTACAATTTTGTTGATGTCATGTGTCTCTGATTTTCCATTTAAAGTTTTCTTTAAAAATAAATATACTTAAGCCTAAAAGGATAGGTGAGCTTACTTAGAAAATATGTTACATTATTGGCCAGGTGCGGTGACTCACGCCTGTAATCCCAGCACTTTGGGAGGTGGAGGCGGGCAGATCACCTGAGGTCAGGAGTTCAAGACCAGCCTGGCTAACATGGTGAAATCCCATTTCTACTAAAAATACAAAAAATTAGCTCGGCGTGATGGTGCATGCCTATAATCCCAGCTACTCAGGATGCTGAGGCAGGAGAATTGCTTGAACCCGGGAGGTGGAGGTTACAGTGAGCTGAGACTGTGCCATGGCACTCCAGCTTGGGCAACCAAAGTGAAACTGTGTCTCAAAAAAAAATGTGTTAAATTATTAAGAAATTAATGTATTAGCCGGGCGCGGTGGCTCAAGCCTGTAATCCCAGCACTTTGGGAGGCCGAGGCGGGTGGATCACGAGGTCAAGAGATCGAGACCATCCTGGTCAACATGGTGAAACCCCGTCTCTACTAAAAATACAAAAAATCAGCTGGGCATGGTGGTGCGTGCCTGTAGTCCCAGCTGCTCAGGAGGCTGAGGCAGGAGAATTGCCTGAACCCAGGAGGCGGAGGTTGCAGTGAGCCGAGATCGCGCCATTGCACTCCAGCCTGGGTAACGAGCGAAACTCTGTCTCAAAAAAAAAAACAAACAAAAAAAAGAAATTAATGTATTAATTACTAGAGTGCACTTGAAATTGGCAAAAATGGTTCTTAAAAATGGAATGTGGTTTTAAATGGGAAATATACTTTTATAAATATCCTTACTGTGAATCATGAGCTAACTCAACCTGATACTTCTCTCTTCTCCCCGTCTCTCTTGTGTTATTCTATATGTTTACAGAGAACTTGGGTTTTTAGATCAACTAAGGATCACACACAACACGGACATATTTATTGGAATGCATGGAGCTGGTCTTACCCATTTACTTTTCCTTCCAGACTGGGCTGCTGTATTTGAACTGTAAGTGTTTGGGGGCAGTTTTACACTGAAGCAGCTGATAATGCTTTTTATGCATGCTGAGGCTTTCATTCTGAGCATCAAAAGGCTTAATATTTAATCATTCAAAAAGAGAAGTCACATCATATAGACATCTGGAAAGAAAAAAGTTCCAAATCTAAAAATATAAAGTCTGCAGCCTGCCATTGCACTTAGTAAGCAAACTACTCCATCTTCTTCCCATCCCCAGCATGATAGGGAAGATGTGAATCTGTGGTTTCCTTATTCTGAGTTTGTTCCTGCATACCTCCCAAACTGTGAGCTGCTTCTTGCAAGCAGTATGGTTAAAAGAGAGCATTTATGTCTCATGTATAACATAGCTCCAAAACACAAGCCAATCACTTCACTTAGTGCTTGCTGATCCCATGCACAGGGAAACTGAGGCCCTTGGGTGTAAATGATCTGCCCAGGCCACACCTTTAACTCAGTGGTTGGTTTGTGAAGACATGGCCTTCCCTCTGGTAATAATTCTGCTCTTGACACTGTGCTCCATTTTAGTTCTTGAGACACAAATAGCAGTTACTGTTACCTCTTTCCCCCTATTCTGTCTCAATATCTGGATTCTGTTGTTTCATTTTAAAAATGATTTGACTGTATTTAAATAGGAGGCTATTTAGGAAAAAAGTCATGAACTTCCAGTGCCCTGCAAAATGTTTCAAAAATACATACAGTATATGTAGAGAAATAGCCAGATAATGGATTCTATCTCTATTATTTCTCTGATAGAGAGAGAAGGAAGGATGGAAGAAAGGAGAAAGGAAGGGAGAGAAATATAACTTAGAAAACTCAAGCCTTAGAGTCTTTGGACCTGGGTTCAACTTTTTCATCCTTCACGGTTTAGTTATATGACCTTGAAAGTGTTACCTACCCCCCCTCGCCGCTTTCATACATTTAAAGACAGAGGTATTATGAGGTGGTATCAAGTCCATAGGCAGCAGGTCCTATTGAATATGGTCAGTCTTCTCTATTCTGTAACCCTATTTTGTTTTTTAAAAGTTAAGTTCATTAGTTCAGAGAGTATTTTTAAATTCTCTTCCTCAGTCTTGTTTACTGTCTTCCTCAGTCTTGTTTACAGCCTTTTGCAAGGACATATTTGGGAGATGCATTTTATGTTCGCAGAGAGTTGTTGATTTGGCAAAAACCTTGGACAAAAGCCTCATGTTGTGACACCCTTGTGTCCTTAGGTACAACTGTGAAGATGAACGCTGTTACTTAGACTTGGCCAGGCTGAGAGGCGTTCACTACATCACTTGGCAAAGGCAGAACAAAGTCTTTCCTCAGGATAAGGTAAAGTTCAATCACAAAACTCACCTTGCTTCATTTTTAATTGGTTTGAAGTATCCAATTATTGAAATGAAAAATGGTCATTGAACTTCAGTGCTACAAAGGTAAACTGTTCTCTGGAATAGTGAATTGTTGTATTTTATATTTGCAAGTAGGAGAAAAAGGAGAATTAAGCACCCTGTATCTTTAATGTTGTAAAGGCAGCTTCATGGAGTTTGAGCTTAGAAAGATCTATTAGAGTATATACAGAGGGGATCAACAAGCTACAGCCCTGTGGGCAAATCCAGCCCATGACATGTTTTTGTAAAGAAAGCATAGTCATGCCTGTGTGTTTATGTATGGTCCCTAGCTGTTTTTGCACTTTAGTGACAGAGTTGAGTAACTGTGACTGAGATCTTAGAGTCAGCAGAGCTGAAAATATTTATCTTCTGGCCCTTAACAGAAAAAGTTTGCTGGTCTCTGATGTAGAGTATAAATTAGTTGCCTTAGCCAAATAACGTAATTTTCCTGCTGTAGAGAAAACCATGCCCTCAGTGAGTTATGTATCTGTGTTTTGGTTTGTTTTCGCAGGGTCACCATCCAACCTTGGGGGAGCACCCAAAGTTCACCAACTACTCTTTCGATGTAGAAGAATTTATGTATCTTGTCCTTCAGGCTGCAGACCACGTATTGCAACACCCAAAGTGGCCGTTTAAGAAGAAACGTGATGAGCTATAAATATGTTGAGTCTGTTTGCAAAAAGAGTGTTTAAACACTTCCACACCCAGACTTAGAATTAAATCAGTAAGGCAACCTATTATTCCCTATCCCCAAATTACCTTTTCTATGCCAAAACATACCTTCAGGATATTGTTATGTGTTTTATAGACAGTAAGTGTTTCATGTGGTTTTTGTGTCATTGCTATTTACCAATAGCAATAATTTTGCACTGAAAACTTTTTATAGTTCAAAAATTGGGCACAGACTCCTTGGTATAATTGAACTTTCTTTCTTTCTTTCTTTTTTTTTTTTTTTTGAGACAGTCTCACTCTGTCACCTAGGCTGGAGTACAGTGGCAGGATTTCAGCTCACTGCAACCTCCACCTCCTGGGTTCAAGTTCTTGTGCTTCAGCCTCCCAAGGAGCTGGAATTACAGGCGTGCAACATCAAGCCCAGCTAATTTTTGTATTTTTGGTAGAGACAGTGTTGTACCATGTTGGCCAGGGTGGTCTCAAACTCTGGGCTCAAGAGATCCTCCCACCTTGGCCTCCCAAAGTGCTGGGATTACAGGTGTGAGCCACCATGGATGGACTTGAACTTTCTCTTTTTAGGGATACCAAAGTTTTCAACTTTTTCAGCTTTAGAATTTGTAAATGTTTTTGTAGAATATTATATGATTGTAATTCCAGAGTATTCCAACTTGTTTATGATATATTTGGGTAAATTTACAGCTGCTCTTTTATTTTCCATAATCTGGTTGTAGCACTGATTGTGGTAGAAAAGGAAAACATGCAAAACACACACACACACACACACACACATACACACACACACATACATACATACACACACACACACAAACACACACACGCACACACACACACACACACACACACACAGAGTTGTGATTCTCAGTACCAAGCTATAGGACCATGTTACATAGACCAGAGTTTAGTCAGCTCCAGGTGGTATGCATCAAGAACCTGAATCAATCATGCCACTATATTTATTTATATTTACATGTTTCATATTCAAATTATGTTTTCCTAAAATGTAGCAACTACATGTGATAAAAGCAAATTAGAACATTCTGTAGGACTGTTTTGCATAACTTCTGTCTGGTTTCCACTGATTCCTTCTAGGCCATGGAGAGCATTTAATGATTAATTTATATATGAAAATGTTTTCCATTTTATGTATTTGTAATTGCCTATACCAGTGCGTATGCATCTACCTCTGTCGGCATGAAAGTATTCAAGTCTTTGATTTCAAAAACTTCGAGTTAGCCTCACGAAGAGAATTCTTCCCTATGAAAAAGTAAGACCAAGAAAAAACAAAGACGTTTGGCTTTTTCAATCAAAAAGAAAAAGAAGCCATAAGAAAGTGTCATTGATTAAAAAGAATATGTAGCCCCACTCTTTGAATGGGATTCATTTCTTACTGATTATGAACTTTGAATTTAGTAGTCAGAAACCATGGATTTATTTTACTGCACAATGTGAAGTTTACATTTTATTGACACTTGAGCAGTCCAATTTAGAGACTTGTTAACTTCTATTTTTTAAAGTAGGGGGTGTAGAAAATTACAGCATAGCTAAATTTTTAAAAACATTTTAGAGTTGGAAAAACATGTATCAGAAAAATGACACACAAAATACCTGTACCTTTACAGAAGATGTTTGCTGACCCCCCACTTTAAAGGATTTAAAAAGTCTTTTAGAATTGAGGACTATTTATTAAAATACCTGTAAAGAAAATAGTGAATCACTGTAGCAATAGCTTTGATTCAGATCTTAAAATCGTATAAAAAGAATATGAAAACAACATGTTATGAATTTTTAAATGACAGGTATTGCAACTGTGCAAAATACTGAGTAACCACTGGGAAAATATTTCAGATGAAAGGAATGACAAAGGCATGTTGTACTTTGTGAGAGCAAGGCACTGACGTCTGAAAAATGATCTGAAAAAAAAAAAAAGGTTTCACAGTGGTCTTCTTACCTCATTTTAAGAAGCATGTGGAAATGGGATGCAATAGACCAGTGAAAATTTCAGAAATTGAGAACAATTTCATAATAAAACTGCTATATTTGAATATTTTGCATTTAAAGAGAGAATACATTTTATATAAACAAAAGTACATTTGACACTTTATGGAATTAACTTTATGAGACTTTTTGTGGGAACAAAAGGTCTTCAAATTGTAAAATGTAAAGATTGCTCTTTTTATTATGTCTTTAAAAGGGATGCATTTCATTGTATGTTTTGGGTATGGCTTTGGAATAAATTGTTTTATATTTTATTTGAATATCAGAACCATTTTTAAGGTTTTCTGTGTCGGAATGTTTCCATGCTTTTTTGGCAGTCTGGTAGCTCTTAGCTTATAAAAATTAAGTACATCTCTGATGAAGAATTCAGTTTGAGCAAAAAATATCTTTTATTTAGCAATTTATTGTATGACGCTTCTATAAATGTTACATTGTATAATCATTACCAAAATGACATAAGAATGATGGTTCCTAAGCTTTCAGATTCCACATTCACAGTCTTCCGTTCATTTAGGGAAGTCTTCCACTCCACTTTAGGGAAGTTATGGGACTTGCCTGAAGATCGCAAGCCTTCTGACGCCACATTCACAAACTTCCGTTCGTTTATTTACTTGCTTATTCAATAAATATTGCTTGGGCTGCAACTTTGTATCAGTTACTATTCTGAGTTCTGGGAATATAGCAATGAAAAGAATAGATAAAAGCTCTTGCCCTCATGAAGCTTACATTCTGTGGAGACAGACATTAAACAACATAAATAAGATGTACAGTGTGCCAGATCCTGATACATGCTATGGAGAAAACCAAAGAAAGAGGGATGTGGAGTCGGGTGGGGTGGAGTCCTGCACACTTAAGTAGGGGGTCAGGGAAGTCTTCATTGACTCAAGACTAGAAGGAGGTGATGGATAGAGTTACGTAGATGGTAACTGGACAAGGAGCATTCCAGGAAGCTAGAAGAGCATGTGCAAAGGTCCTGAGGCAGCAGCATGCCTGGTACGTTTGAGGAACACCAAGGAAGCCAGTGTGGCTGGTGTGATCAAGGGGCAGAGGAGTAGGAGGCGAAGTCAAGAGATGCTGCAACAGCAGTGCAGACAACAAGGCTCTGATGAGATGGAAGCCATTGAAGGGATCTGAGTAAAGACCTGCCTTACCTCTAACATGCTAACTCTAGCTGTTAGGCTGAGAATAGGATATGGAGGGATGTGTTAGGTCATGTTCTCTGGAAAACAGACTCTGGGATGAAGATTTGACTGCAGATAGTTTTTTTGTGGGGGAGGTTCTCATGTTCAACCCTTATGAGGATGTGAGGGGGTCCAGGCTTGGGCAGAGGGAGAAATTGAGGGGCAATGCCAGGTGAGCCCTCAGCGGGGCACTGTAGAGCGGGAGTGATCCTTTAGTGAGGTCCCCAAATGAGGCAAGAAACACACATAACAAGTTCGAATACGGGCTATCCCAGGGAGGCGTGGGGTCTTAACAAGGCCACTCCCTTCAGCTGAGGGCAAGGCCTGGTGAGGAGCTCAGCTGTGACCCATCAGTGGCCACATTCTAAGCAACACGGGGACTGAGTGCTTCAGTCTGAAGGGAGTTCAGCGGCGCGTTCACCAGCGGGTAAGGGTAGTGCCGTTTAGCTTGTCCTATTCTCCCTCCTGCTTCCCGTCAATTGAAAGTCAGATCTAAAGTCTCCTTAAGATTCAGATTTGAGGCAGGGCGTGGTGGCTCACACCTGTAATCCCAGCACTTTGGGAGGATGAGTTGGGCAGATCACATGAGGTTGGGAGTTCGAGACCAGTCTGACCAACGTGGAGAAACCCCATCTCTACTAAAAATATGAAATGAGCCAGGCATGGTGGTGTGCCCCTGTAATCCCAGCTATTCGGGAGGCTGAGGCAGGAGAATCGCTTGAACCTGGCAGGCAGAGATTGCTGTGAGCCAAGATCGCGCCATTGTACTCCAGCCTGGGCAACAAGAGAAAAACTATCTCAAAAAAAGAAAAAAGATGCAGATTTGATGTCTATTTTTAAGGAATATTTATAGTTGATACCGTGTACTTCACATTGTAGAAGTCTAAGGGACGGGTCAGCACACTGTACAGGGCTGATAGTGAATATTTCAGGCTTTGTGAGCCACATATGGTCCCTGTTGCATATTATTATTTGTTACCCCTCTCCTGCAATCTTAAAAACATAAAAATCATTCTGCTAAGACGTTTAACTTGCCCAAAGTCACACAGCCAGTACCAGATGGATCGGATATAGGGCTTTCTTTGTCAAGGAATTTTGAGTTAGATAGGGATGTTTACATGTCATGTAGGAAGGAAGGAAGTTGGGGAGGAAAAAAGAGGGAGGAAAGAAGGGAGGGAGGGAGGGAGGGGGAGAAGAAGAAAGGGAAAGAGAAGGGAGATACTAGTTGGGGGATATAGAACATGGAGAAAACAGTCCTAGAGATGGGATTCTTTTTGCTTACAAAACTATTTTTTTGTTTTGTTTTTTAGTTTATTTTCAGACAGGTCTCCCTCTGTCACCCAGGCTGGAGTGTGGCAGTGCCATCATAGGTCACTGTAGCTTTAAACTCTTGGGCTCAAGTGATCTTCCTGCCTCAGCTTCCTGAGTAGCTGGGAATACAGGTATGCACTACCAGACCTGGATAATTTTTCATTTTTTGTTGAGAGAGGGTCTCACTATGTTGCCCAGTCTGGTCTCAAATTCTGAGCTGAAGAGATCCTCTGGCCTCGGCCTCCCAGAATGCATGGATTACAGGTGTGAGCCACTACACCTGGCCCAAAATAGTTCTTTTTTGAAACCTAGTCAGTAGAGAGAAAATATGGAAAATATTTGCTTTTTCTAAACTAGGAGCATATATGCAAATCAACTCAGGTATGATTGCCCTGGAGAAGCCAACTGTTTAAAATAACCTGCTCCCAAGCAGGGGCTGTTGTCAGAATACTTTAATACCTTTGTTCTCTTCCAGCTTACTGGGGCATGTCAAAAGATGTTATAGCCATTCTTGTCAAAACAGAAGTGGGTTAGGGCCGTTTGCTCACAGTTTCTCGCTGTGCAGGCCCTCGCCTTGGCTGGTAGTACACAGGGGACCACAAGGTGGCAGTCAAGCCCTTCCAAATGGCCTCTGGGGTGGTCTGAAGCCCGATAACTGAATCTCATTGTAGATTCCAGGCACCTGAGTGTTAGGAGTAAGGCTTTGCTTCTGAGTGTGATGGATTTTGTTATTCCTGATTTGAGGGAATGTGGGAAAATGGTTGCGGACAGTTTTCAGGTTTAAGTGTGAAATTGCTTAGCTGCAGCCAATAGCTGAATCCTGTATAATATCTCCTGATTATCTTTTGGGAAGAGCACTTGGTTCCCGGAAGATGATTTCTAGTGACAGAAGCTGCTTATGGGAATGCATTCTCATTGACTTGGTAGAGAATTTGATGAGGATTTTAGCTTTATTTAGGGTCTATAGCTGACACATGAACTCTTCAATTCTTCTTCAGAGCAAATTTCTTTATGTTGGTCTTCCAGGTTATATTTTCTTACTTGTAGGTTGGTGTAATATACATTAGGTAGGGTTCATAAGGATAAAATAAGAGTATAATGTCACACTTATTTAGTGCCCGGCACAAAACGTGTTCAGTAAATGCTATTATTGTACTATAACATATAGAGTTATTATTTAAAGGTCTAATACCTGGGGAGCATTTAAATTCTGGTCTCCAGACCTCTCCTCAGACCAAGTAAATCAGAACCTC